GTGTTGTGTTGTGTTGTGTTGTGTTGTGTTGCGTCGCGTTGTGTTGTGTTGTGTTGTGTTGTGCTGTGTTGTGTTGTGTTGTGTTGTGTTGTGTTGTGTTGTGTTGTGTTGTGTTGTGTTGTGTTGTGTTGTGTTGTGTTGTGTTGTGTTGTGTTGTGTTGTATGTATGTATGTATGTATGTATGTATGTATGTATTATGTATGTATGTCTGTCTGTCTGTATGTATGTATGTATGTATTGTATTGTATTGTATTGTGTTGTATTGTATTGTATTGTATTGTATTGTATTGTATTGTATTGTATTGTATTGTATTGTATGCATGCATGCATGCATGCATGCATGCATGCATGTATGTATGTATGTATGTATGTACGTACGTGTGTATGTACCTGTGTGGTGCATGTATGTTTGTATGGATGTATGAATGCATGAATGCATGCATGCATGCACGCATGTATGTATGTATGCATGTGCCCATTCGCGCATTTACAAAAATATCCGTAAGGACTTCGCCCCCTGCCGCCGGCCCCCTCTCTATCAGAATGGGCTATGTCAGAGCTATGCTGGAATTCTTTTGCGCGGTTGCGAAGCAATGTCAGAACCTCCTGCGAGGGCTTTTGGTAAGCGGCAGATTCAGGCTCAGAACGTATTGTTGAAGTCCGTATTGTTATTCTCGAGTTCTTGCTCGTGCCATGTATTGGAGCACCGATTCGGGTCTGCTTGAGGCTACGTTGGGCAACATCGCGTGGCTTTGGCTGCCCTCTTGGGATGCCTCTTGGAAGCCTGTTGGGACGGCTTGGCAGCCACTTCGAGCCTTCTTTCGCCGTCGCGGGACTGAAAGCTCAAATCTTTGGTTCGTGGTCCCGCTTTGGACCTCTCTTGGTGCCATCTTCAGGAGTCGTTAGGCCGTCTTGGGTGCCTCCTGAGCTGTCCTGGTGCCCTCTGGGGCCGTCTTGGGGCTACCCTGGAGGCTTCTTCGGTCGTCTTGGGGCGGTCTTAGCTTCGACGGCGCGAATTCCGTATAATTCACTACAGATCGTGGCCTCGAAGGCGAGAATCTGCGGTCATGAACAAGGGATTGTAGCCTCGAAGGCAACATCGCGGTGTAATTCACGATGGTTCATAGCCCCGGGAACGCGGGTATTGCGTAATGTTCTATGGTTTATGGCTTCGGGGGCGCGAATATTGCAAAATGTACGAGAGCTTATGGCTTCGGGGACGCGAACATTACATAAATTACTAGGGCTTGTTGCATCGAAAACGCAACGATTGCGTACTCTACGAGGCTGTGTGGTTTCGGGGACGCGAACATTGCATAATTTACTAAGGTTTATGGCCTCGAGGCCTTGGATACGCGAGCACCGTGCAATTTACGAGGGTGTATGGCTTCGGGGACGCGAATATTATGTCATTGACGTGGGTGTTTGGTCTCGGGAGCGCGAATATTATATAATGTACGAAGGTGTATGGCTTCGGGGACGTGAGCATTGGGTAATTTACGAAGGACTATGGCCTCCAGGACGCGAACACCGAGTAATTTACGAAGGGTGTCTTGCCTCGGGGACGCGAACGTTGCGTAATTCACGAGGGCTTATGGCCTCAGGGGCGCGAATCTCATGTATCTGTACGTGTCCCACGGCCCCCCGAAGAATTCTGAGAACCTTCCCAGGGCGTGGTAAAAGATCCCGCGTGGGGCTCCCACCCCTCGCACGGACAGCAGCAATAGTAACAGTAAGGAAGCAGAAAGCAGGACTGTGACAGTGGAAACTGGAAGCTGCAACGGAACAGGGAGCTGCTGCAATCTTTACCCTCGCAGCCTGGTGGCCCCGCAAGGGGGCTGGCGGATATGTATATATATATATATATATATATAGGCATACATACACAAATGTATATATATATATATACATATAGATATATTCCTATATATATTGAGAGAGAGAGAGAGAGAAAAAAAAAAAAAAAAAAAAAAAAAAAAAAAACAGATAGAGAGAGAGAGAGGAAACCCCAAAAAAGAGGTCTTCTTCGCGGGGCCTTTCTATACCGGGCCCTGGGACCGTGGAGGGACTGGGCGGAAAAGAAAAGCTGGTCCTGGGGAAGGCGTCCAGGCCCCCAGGGGCCCACGTTTGAGATAATTGACGGCGTCAGTAGGACGAGGCATGGACGCGGATAAGTCCGTTCCAGAGCGTTCCGGAACGCTCTCAGAGCTTTCTGGATAGTTCTCAGCAGGCCGTGGCGCTCGATACACCCTCCGGAACCGCAGGATCTCAGAGATCCTCGATTTATCCTCACCCGATTTCATCCTGGCCCTAGCTTCATAGGGTTCCAGGTCGGGGTTCGAAGTTCCCTGGCGTTTTCTGGTTAATTTGTTCGAGCATCCGGGAGGCTCGTCGTCGCATCGTTCGGGCCACTTTTGCGAATTTTGTCAAGACGCATCTCAAGAAAGGTCGGAGGGGGCGGTTCTCGGGAGCGAGAAAGCGTACAAGTGCATGAACCCACGTTGGTCGCGAAAAATTGGTCCGGGTGAGGCCCTTGTGAACCAGCAGTTGCCCGTTAACATCATGACTTGTTCCCCTTGTGTCAAAGCCGAAGGGCAGGCGACAGACGGTGGTAGGCTCGCACTGTCGAGAAATCTGGGGCCTGGCGATTCAAAAACATAGATAGTCTTCAGAGGTCTGGGTCCGCACTTCCCCCCTTTCCCACCAATGATCAGCATCACCAGCATCACCCTCACCGTCGTCATCACAGTAAGAATGGCACTACTACCACTTATAACGAAAAAGAACAGCAATGCGAATCATAATAACAATCAGAACAACAATAGTAAGAGTAGTAATCATAAGATCAATAGTACTACGAATACGAATAACAACAAACAACAACAATGATTTAGTAATAATGGGAGTCATAAGAATAGTGACCTACATCATGGGCATCATCACACTAGTCATAATAATGATAGGGCTGATAATGATCGTTATCATTCTGACAAGAAGTATCATCATCATCATCATCATCATCATCATCATCATCATCATCACCATCATCGTCATCATCATCATCATTCGCATCGACGTCGGCACCACCATCCAAAGGTATCACAAGAGAGGGGAAGCAGAATATCCAAACCTCTCAGCAGAGACCGACATGGAAGTCGACATAGCAGTCAGAGGAGGAGGAGCAGCAGCAGTTGATTCAAGTTCGTCGGGTCGACGGAGTCGGCGGGCCCCGTCCATCCCCACACTTTATATTCCATAACATGAGAACTGATTGTGGCGCAACTTGACTTTGGATTTGGCGCGGCGCGCTCCCCAAAGCGAGCGGGAAGCGACGCGGGGGGGGGGGGGTGGTCCCGCGTCCCACGGCTTGACAGAGGCACGGGGCCGAACTTGGGCGCGAGCGGAACTTCCAGAACAGCCTCGCACGGCGCTGCGGCGAGAGCACACTGGAGCCCTCCCTCGCGCGGCAGAGCTTCCGAGGAGCGCGGCGAGGACGATGCACTCGAGTAGGGGATCCACTGCAGAATCGATTTGCCCCAGAATTGATTGTCTCGTCGAGTCTGCAAAAAAACGCTAGATTCACATGGATGCGACGAAAACAAAAAACAAGTTTGGGGTACATCGATTCTGTAGTCGAGTTACTCGAAGCATTCGCCTCGCCGAATCGGAATGGCCACGTTCACGCAAGATCTGCGCGGCGCGTGGACAAGAACAACGTTTCGCCCGCTCTCTCGTGGACCTGCTGCCGTCGCCGCACGCAATGTTTGTGCGGCGCGTGGGCAAGAACAACGTTTCGCCCGCTCTCGCGCGGACTTGCTGCCGTTTCCGCTTCCCTGCCAGTCGGCGGCCCCAAAACATGCGCCGCGCCAGAGCGGGAACGCCACTGCCAGGCGAAAATTGAACGTGGTTTAGTCGATGGCTTGCCGGCACGCGCGCGGCCCCGCCCGCAACATGCGCCGCGCCTAAGAGTGATCAGGGCGCGGCCCTAAGACGAGAGTGACAGTCCGCCCTCTTAATGCGCGCCCCGCCTCACTCCCGCCGCGAATCCTGCAGCATCGACGCCAAAACGCCTACGCTGAGAGGCGAAACGTCGACTGTGCATCTTGTGTGGCTGGGTGGGATGGACGGCCACACGCACGGAGGCTATCGCCCGGCTACGGTGGGTTCGCGCCGTGTCGATTGGCGGCGACCCCACCGCCGGCGTTCAACGTTGGACGCCGCCAGCGACCCAGAGTCGCCCCCTCGTTGAATGATCGGATGTTTCGGAAACGGCCGGTCTGTCAAGGCTGAACGATCCCCCCTGTATCAGGAACCAACGCCCGGGTCGACACGACATGATGATCCTGCCGCACGGTGGGCGCGGGCCGAAATTTCGGCCGATCTAGATCCAACGGGAGATGCCGCGGTCGGCGTCGTCATGCCCTCGGGTCGGCCAGGCCTGGGCACCCTGGGGCAACCCCACGGCCCTTCTGTTCCCCGCCCTCGCTTTTGCGAACAGCGCCGACGCCGAGAATGCATGCCCGCGGGCAGGTGTGTGCGTATGTTGACTATATATATATATATATGTGCATATTTATATATATATATATATATATATACATGCGTATATACATATATACATGCAATGATATATATATATATATATATATATATATATATACATATATATATACTTCCACATACATCGAACAACAAAGAAGAAACATGATGACAACCAGGAGTAAGGGAGATAGGCGCAGCTGCAGCACGGCACGCGGGCGGCATGATTTCCGCACTCTCGAGGGCAGAGTCGCCCTCCCTATCCTGACCGAGGCCCTTGACAGCCTTCGCTGCCCAGAAGTTGCACCCGCAGGCCGGAGGTGAAAGGCCAGCGCCTCGCCCGCTGGGGCTCGCGGACCTCTCCCGCGACGGCCGCCGCGGCCTGGCCGCGGCACGTGGCGCCGCCGCGCCGCCGGCCCCGCCACGTCGTCGTCGTCGTGGCCGTCGTCGTTGCCGTGGTCGTCGAGCCGTCGCCGCTCGTGCGCGGCGGCGCGGCACGGGCTGCGTCGCCTTCGCCGTCCTCGGTTCGTCGCCGTCGTCGTCGCGCCGCCGTCGTTTCCGCTTCGCTTCGTCGTCGTCTTCGCTTCGTCGTCGCCGTCGTCGCGGTCGTCGCCGTCGTCGTCGTCCGAGTTCGGACATATACGCGTTTCCCGCCATCTTGGGTGCCTGCCGGAGGTGGGTTTCTTCGTCGCCGCGGCTGGATCCGCCTGGGTCAAAGTTCTTGCCAGAACGCGCCCCAGGAATTAGCAGGGAGGAGTCATCATCGTTTTCGTCGTCCTCCTCCTCAGGATGGCTTGATCGCGGAGTGGGCCTTGGCCTGGGAGAGCACGCACGTCCTGGCCAAGCTGGTTCCCTCAGATCAGGGCTTTGCCTAAAAGTTACGCACACAGACGCATACATACCGCGGGCGTCTCCGCCCCTCCTCGGGGCCCCCGGGCCTTCGCGGATGGTTCTGGTTGCGGAAGTGCCTCAGAGAGACGAGGTCGGCAGTTTTGGTCCCGAATTATCTCCGCTCTGTGTGTGTGTGTCCGCGTGTGTACGTGTTGTACGTGCGTGCGTGCGTGTGTGTGTGTGCTTGCTTGCTTTTTGTTTGATTGCTAGCTTGCTTGCTTGCTTGTTTGTGTGTGTGCATACTTGTTTGTGTGTACGCGTGTGTGCTTGTGCGTGTGTGTGTGTGATCATTGTTTTCCTTCGGCCGCCTCCCTCCTCCCTCCTCCTCCTCCTCCTGCATGGTGGCACAATTCGGCCTAACGGTACCCCCGTTCATGCCTCATCGCCATCACAGTCACCCTTTGCCTAGCCGCCGACGCTAAAACATGTGTGCGTGTGTATTGTGCGTCCGTGTGTGTGTGTGTGTGTTCGTTTGTGCGCGAGGTTGTGCTGTTGCGTGTTTCTGTTTGCGTGCTTGTGTGTTTGTGTCCTTGTGTGTTTCTGAGTGTATGTTTCTACGTGTGTGCACGCGCCATGCCAATCGTCTCGGTGATTGCTTCACCAGGCTTGCCAGGGTAGGCACCTCCCGCCGCACTGGCACGGCCTACTGGCCGTCGCCTTGACCTCCATTCTCTTCCGTGGTTGCTCTACCAGGCTTGCCCGGGCAGGCACCAATATGACCCTCGAATTGGCTCCGCCGCTCTTCCGTTCCGCCTAGCCTGGCTGTTCGCTTCGCTCTGTTCTCGGTCTCTCTCCCAAGCTTGCCTGGGCGGCAATACGGTCGAGGGAAACAATTGTGGACACTCCCCCCCCGCCTAAAACTCAAACTTGGCGCGCGCGGGGAAGACTCCGGTCGAAGTGCAACTCGTTCAACACACCGCCAATTTTGACCAATGAAATCGGCATGAGTTTTCGCTACTTTTTTCCCGAGGCATGTACTTCTTGCCCTGCTCTGCTGGACCGCGCCTCGCTTGGCGAGCGGCCCTCCTGTCCCTGGACTGTGCCGTTCCCGTTGCGGTTGACGCGCCTTGTCTCTTACACACGCGACGGAGTTTCCGAAGTCCAGGCAGTTCTCTAAGCGGTCCAGCCGCTGAGCAGAGGCCGGCTGGTCATCCACAAAGTTCGACGCCATTAGTGTGGAACGCGCCCCGTAGGCATTGATCCGAGCTTGTGGTGCCACATCACCAGATGAGTAAACAGTGTGTGGGGGGGTGGGGGTGGGAGTGTGCGTGTGGGTGTGCGCGTGCGCGTGCGCGAGCGAGTGCGCGTGCGCGTGCGCGTGCGTATGCGTGTGCGTGTGCGTGTGCGTGTGCGTTCGTGTGTGTGTGTGTACGTGCGCGTGTGTGTTTGTTTGCGCTTATTGCTGTGTGTCGTACGTGTGCTATTTGTTGGGTGTGTGCATGGTTCTAAACAGCTTGCCTGTGAGAGTTCTGTTTAAGAAACTAGTCAGTGCGCTGACAGAGCCAAAATAGGTCCGGCGGCGTTGCCTCCTGTTGCCTCTTGCGGCCTGCGCAGATCAATGCTGGCGCGGAGTTCTTCGCAGCCAGTTTGCGGCACATGGGGGCCGCATGTTGCACGACGCAAGCGGGACGCAGGAGAGCGAGGTGGGGGAGGAGGAGAAGGCCGAGGAGGAGGAGGAGGAGAAGGAAGAGGAGAGGAAAGGGTGATAGGAATAGTCCGATCGTGGGGAAGCAGGGTCGGAGAATGGCGGAGGTGGGCGGAGGTGGTGGGGAGGGCGTTCGGGGACCCTCGTGCGAGGGTCCTCTGTGAGGAATGGTCGCAACATGTGATGGAAGGCCGCGCGGCGGCCGTCAGCGGTCAAGCGAGCACCTTGCGAGCAGAAGCCCGCATCACGGGGCACATCGCATCCCGAACATCTTGAAGTTCGGTCTGCCGCGGCTCTTTTTGCGGGCCTCCTGCAAGCCTCGGGGGGCGGGGGGGGCTTTCAGTGGTTTCGGGTGGCTGTTGGGGGCCTCTTGGGGCCCTCTGGGGGCTTATTGGGGGTCTGCTGGGGGCCTCATGGGGGCATGTTGGGGATCTTGGGGCCAACTTGTGGGGGAGAGCCTCTGGGGCCCCTTTGAGGTTCCCCTCTTGGGCCCTTCTTGCGAAGGCCTCTTGGGCTGTCTTGGTGCCATCCTGGGCGCTTTGAGGCCTTCTGGGCGTGTTGGCGCTCTTTGTGAGACGTCTTGGGAGGCTTCTTGGGCATCTTGGAGGTGACGGAGGCTGGATTTGGAGGCTCTGGGGGCCAGGAGGGGCCTTGACGAGCTCGGAGGGACCCGGCCGCCCCCTCAAACGGCATCGTCGACCCTGGAGGGCTGGGGAAAGGGGGAGGGAGAGAGGCAATCAGCTCGCACGCCTTGTCACCCTGACGGTTGTCGGCAGATCCCTATCATGTATGCTCGCCCCTTTCCCCAGATCCCTACCCCCACATCCTTAGCTCGTTCATCCCTCCCCCGTTCCCGATCCCCCCATCGTGGCCTCCATCGTGGCGCCCACCTTAGCTGTGCAAAGTTGTTTAGGAAATTCTGCTGCAAGAGTGTCATTGTGATTGCGCGTGCTGGTGTATGTGAGAGCGTGTGTGTGCTGGGTATTCAGTGTTGTGTGTTGTGTGCTGTGTGCTGTGTGTTGTGTGTTGTGTTGTGTCATGATATGTTGTGTTGTGATGGGATGTTTTGTGTTGTGCTGTGCTGTGCTGTGCTGTGTTGTGCGTGCGTGCGTGTGCGTGCGTGCGTGCGTGCTTGCGTGCGTGCGTGCGTGTGTGCATGCGTGCGTGTCTGTGTGTGCTTGTGCTTGTGGTGCTTGTGCTTCTGCTTGTGCTTATGATTGTGGTTATGCTGATGCTTGTCGTTGTGCTTGTTTGTGTGCGCGTGTGCGCGTGTGTGTTTATTCGTGTTGTGCGAGTGCTGTGTCTGGTGTGTCTGTTGTGTGTTGTGTTGTGTTGTGTGTGCTGAGTGTTGTGTGTGGTGTGTGTGTGGTGTGTGTGTGTTGTGTGTTATGTGTGTGTGTGTGTGCGTGTGTGCGTGTGTGCGTGTGTGTATCGCTGTGCAAAGCGACAACTTCACGAAGTCTTGCACGGGTTGTTTTCAGGGCTCTGCCCGTGCCCTGGCACGTCTCTCGCCAGAGGCGACGCGGCATGGATATCGCTCAATTGGGCTCTGGCAGTGCACCACTACAAAATTACTGCGCCATCTTCAGGACCCGCCACTGCAGCGATTGAGAAGCAGCGCGTCTGGTCGGGCTGGGAAGAGGAAGATCCGCCTGCCCCTGGGCACCCGAGCCCTGGAACGTCCGCGGAGACTGTGCCCCTCATACAGCTCGCTGGGGTCAGAGTGAACGAAACACGGCACATTGGACGAAGCACTTCACGATGAAGCACGCCAGGTGGAAGCGATGAAGCAGTGCCTCGTGATTCACACCTCGACGAAGCACCTCGTGGCGGCGCCGGCCACGAGGAAGCGCGCCCCGGCGAAGCACGCCCCGATGACGCACCTTAGTAAGAATCATTCCGTAATGAAACACCCCTCGAAGAAGAACTCCATGCTGAAGCACGCCACGAAAGCACCCCCGATGAAGCATTGCGTGGCGAAGCGTTCCTCGACCGAGCATTTCGCGGCAATCTCGTCCAACACGGCGATGGCCACGGTGAGTCACGCCACGGTGAAGTACCTTGCGACGAAGCACTCCACCATGAAGCACCCAGGCGGCACGCCCCGCGCTGCAGCGCACCACGCCGAAGCACTCCATGACGAAGCAATGCCTGGTAAAGAACACACTTCGACGGAACACGCCGCGGCGAATACCGCCACGATTAAATTCGCCACGATGAAGCCCTCCACGGTGAAACACTCCACGATGAAGCATTCCACGACGAAGGCCCCCGAGGAAGCATTGCCTGGCAAAGCCCTCCATGACAACCTCACGATGATGGACCCTTCGCTGTAGCACTCCATGATGGGCCACTGCCCGGCGAAGGACCCCTCGACGCATCTCACCGCAAAGCTTGCCACGACGAGCCACGGCACGACGAATCATTCCACGACGAAGCATTCCACGGCGAAGCACTCCCCGACGGAGGATTTCACGCTGAAGCGCGCCACGCTGTAGCACTCCATGGCGAAGCAGAAGCACTGCCTGGCGAAGCACTCCCTGACGAAGCACCTCGTGGACACACCTCGCCGCGAAACCCGCCGCGATGAGGCCCGACACGCCGAAATACTCCACGACGAAGCGCACCGCGACGAAACGCCCTCCGACGAAGGACTGCGCTGAAGCACGCCACGCTGAAGCACCCCACGATGGAGCACCTGGCGAAGCACGCCCCGACGAAGCGCGCAACGTTGAACCGCGCCACGACGAAGCACTGCCCGATGGAAACCACCTCGGCGAAACAACTCGCGGCGAAGCCCGCCACGACGATGCGCGCCACGACCACGCATCCCACGACGAAACACTCCGCAATGAAGCTTTGCACGACGACAGCACCCCCGATGAAACATTGCTTGCGAAGCACTCCCAGTCGAAGCACCCCGCGGCGAAACTGGCCACGATGAGGGCCGCCACGGCGAAGCAAGCCGCGACGCACCACACCCGCAGTGGTTCTTCTAATGTTTGGCAGTCCGCGCAGGATGCACTCCTCGAGCGGGGCGCAGCGCACGGGAGGAGGAGCTGGAAGCGCTAGATTACCAGCAGGCCGACCGGGAACTCATGCCAACACCCACTCAAGGAACGAGAAGCAGAGGCGGAATGCAGAACAGAAGCAGGTGAGGTTGATTGTGAGGAAGGGAGGGAACAGGCAGCACGAACGGCCACTGCGCCGCGGGCCTCCACGCCGCCCGCGGGCCCCCACGCTGCCATGGGGACAGATGAGCTTCTTGGGCGCGGGGGCGGGGCGCGCGACAATGCCAGCGAACAAGACGCAACATAAGTAGGCGAAGCAGATGACGCAAGTGACGGCGATTGGGGGGCAATCAGTGCGAGCGGCCACCTGCGCCGCGGGCCTCCACGTCGCCACGGGCCCCCACGTCGCAGCTGCGGCGCGAGGCGACGGCCTCGCGAAGCGCGGCGTAGATTCTCGTCAGGGCTCTGCCCATGCCCTGGCACGACTCTCGCCAGAGGCGAGCTAGCATAGATAATTGTTCCACTGCGTTGAGGCGACGCACCACCTCCGACCGCGGCGCCCTCTTCGGGGCCCGCCGCTGCATCGACCCAGCAGCGGCGCATCCGGGCGGGCCGACGCCTGGAAGGTCAAAGGCCCGCCTGTTCGGAGCGCCCGGGCCCTGGCGCGCGGCGCGCCCGCGGAGAGCGCCCCCCTCCGATTGTTCGCAGGGGTCAGAAAGAGCGAAGCATGGTACAGTGAGCGGCTTGAATAAGGAGCACTTACTTTTCAAAAGGGGCTCGGTCGTTCCTTAGGTTTGCATGCGTTGTTTGCAGTTCCTCATGCGTTACTTGTGACTTATCGTTCCTTATGCGTTATCCCTTGGGATAAAAAAGGGGCTTCGTTCCTTATTGATCGTTCCTTAGGTCAGGCCGATGACTGCAATCCGGACGAAGCACTTTACGGCAACGCACGGCAGGCGGAAGCGACGAAGCACTGCCTCGCGAAGCACACCTCGACGAGGCACCAAGGCGGCGACGCCGGCCACGGAGAGGCGCGCCTCGGCGAAGCACGCCCCGACGAAGCACTCCACGAAGGAGCGCCCCATGGCGAAACACCCCCAAGGAAGGACCCCATGCTGAAGCATGCCACACGGGGCACCCCCGATGAAGCACTGCGCGACGAGGCGCTCCCCGACGCAGCGCTTCGCGGCGATCTCGCCCACAGTGGCGCTGCTGTCTGTCGCGGGTCGTGCGCGCGCGCAGCGGCGGCGCAAGGCGGCGACCTCGCGAGGCGCAGCACAGGTTGTTTTGAGGGCCCCGGCCGCGCCCCGGCACGTCTCTCGCCAGAGGCGGGCCGGCGCGGATTTTCCACTGCGGCGTTTTGGCGACGCGCCACCTTGATCGCAGCGCCCTCGTCAGGGCCCGCCGACGCAGCGACTGGAGAGCAGAGCACCGGGGCGGGCCGACGCCTGAAACGTTGGAGGTCTGCCTGCTTGGAGCACCCGAGCCCTGGCGCGTCGGCGGGGAGTGCGCGCGCGTTGCGCGCGTTGCGCGCGCGTGTTATGCGTTGCGTGCGTCGTGTTTTTGTGCGCTTGGTGCGTGTTGTGAGTTGTGTTGTGCGTTGTGTGTTATGTGTTGTGCGTTGGATGCGTGGGCTTGGATGTTGCTCGTTGTCGGTTCTATGTTGTGCGATGTGTGTTGTTGTTTTTTTGTTGCGCGCTGGGCGTTGTCCGTTGTGCGCTGCGCCTCGTGCGTTGTGCGCGTTGTGGGTGCGGGTTGTGGATTGTGGGTTGTGCGTGTTTGCGTTGTGCGAAGTGCGTTGCGCTGTGCGTTGCGCGTTGCGCGTTGCGCGCGCGAGAGCGCGCGCGCCTGCTTGCCCGCCTGCCCGCCGGCCTGCCCGCCGGCGGTCGAGCGCGAGAGCGGGCGGGCCGGCGGGCGGGCGAGCGCGCGCGCAGGCGCGCGCGCATGCGCTCGCCCCCGCTGGACCGCCCACGCCGCGGCCCCGCTCGCGTCGCCGCAACGGCGCGCGCACGCGCTGGCCGCCGCTCGACTGTCTACGCCACGGCGCCTCGTGCGTGGCCGCAAAATCAGAAAGTGCGCGTTTGCGGCTGCGCGTGCGCGCGTGCGCGTGTGCGTGCTTGTGCGTGTGCGTGCGTGTGTGTGTGCGCGTGTGCGTGCGTTTGTGCGTGCGCGTGCGCGCGTGCGAGTGCGTGTGTGTGTGTGTGTGTGTGTGCGTGTGCGTGCTTGTGTGCGTGCGGGTGTGCGTGCGTTTGGGTGTGCGTTTGCGCGTGTGTGGGCGTGCGTGTGCGTGCGTGCGCGTGCGTGCGTGCCCGCATGCGCTTGCGTGTGCGTGCGCGTGCGGGTGTGTGTGTGTGTGTGTGTGGGTGTGTGTGTGGGTGTGTGTGTGTGTGTGCGTGCGTGTGCGTGCGTTTGTGTGTGTGTGCGTTGTGTTTGGGTGTGTGTTTGTGTGCGGTTGCATGTGTATGTGTTTGTAGTTGTGTTTGTGTTTGTGTTTGTGTGTTTGTGCTTGTGGTGGTGATTGTGATGTTGTGTTGGTGTTTGCTTGGGTGTGTGTTTATGTGTGTGTGTGTTGTGGTTGAGGTCGTGTGTGCTTATGGTTGTGTGTGTTTGTGTTTGGGTGTGTGTGTTTATGTTTTTGTTGTCGTTTGCGTTTGTGTTTGTGCTAGTGCGTGTGTTTGTGATTGTGTCTCTGCTTGTTCCTGTGCTTATGTTTAGGTACGGGTGTGATTATGCGTATGTGTTGTGTTTGTGTTTGCGTTTGTGTGCTTATGTGTGTGTATGTGTGATTGTGTTTGCGCTTGTGATAGTGCTTGTGCTTGCTGTTGTGTGTGTGTTTGTGTTCGGGTTTATGTTTGGGTTTGGGTTTGTATTTGGGCGTGTGGTTGTGTGTGTTTGTGATTGTTTGCGTGCGTGTGTGTGTGTGCGCGTGTGTGTGTGCGTGCGTGCGTGCATGTGTGTGCGCGTGTGGGTGCGAGCGTGTGTGTGTGCATGTGTGTGTGTGCCCGCGCGTGTGTGTGTGTGTGCGTGTGTGTGCGTATGTGTGTGCGTGCGCGTGTGTGTGCGCGCGTGCGTGCGTGCATGTGTGTATGTGTGTGCGTGTGTGTGCGTGTGTTTGTGTGTGCGCGTGTGTGCGTGCGTGTGCGTGCGCCCGAGAGTGAATGTGTGCGTGTGTGTGCGTGCGGGTGTGTGCTCGCGTGTGCGTGCGTGGGTGCGTGTGCGTGTGCGTGCGTGCGTCTTGCCAGTGGCGCCCGATGCCGAGGTTGCGCCTGTCGACATCGGCCACTTCGCGCACACGGTTTTCGAGGAGTACTGGCACCTGGCCCCGCACTCCGGCAAGGGCGGGTGCAGCGCGACGGCTCGCTGGGTCAGGTCTCGAAGAGGAAAAATACACATAAACAGAAATGCTCGGAGCCCCCGCGCGGATTTCTCGGATCGGCGCTGGACCCCCGCCCCTGGCGCGCGGAGCGCGCCATGGGCGGCGCCGGGGGCCCAACGCCGATCCGAGAACTCCGCGCGGAGCGCCGGAAGTTAACGTTAATGCCGCTTTTCCTTCTTCTGAGGTCGCTGGCGAGGCCCCAGGACGTGGCCGACGTCCTGGCCCGCCAGTCCTCAGGGGCAACGCTAGGGGGGATTGGCTGACGGGGGGGGGGGGGCGCATCGACCCCCAATCGCCCGTTGATCGTCGATAGGGGCCTGATAGCCCACCCCGTCCGGGAACGTGCGGATTCGCTATCGGTGGCCTTCCGCCGATCTATCGGCGATGTGTCGCCGATTCCAGGTCGACGATTCCCCTCTTGAGCTGGCACCCCCCTTTCCTTACACAGCCTTCGCCATGTGCTTTTTCAATCCGTGGCCCCCGAGGCCCCGACCTCTTCCCCGGATTTCGTTTTTCGCCGCGCGTCCCTACTTGGTGGCCTCGGGGCCCGATGACGGGCCTCAAAGGACGAGCTCGGCGGAAGGCGGCCGAGGAGAATCGTCCGGACCTCGGCGGAAGGCGGCGGAAGGGCGGCGGAAGCCAGCGGAAGTAAAATGAGGCCGCTTCCGCTGGCGGAAGGCGGCGGAAGGAAAGACCGGTGACCGACCTCCCAAGAGATGGCAACATTTGTGGGCTTTGGGTTTCTGGAATCCCCCATATCTCCCGAGATCTGGGGAGCCGGTCCCCCTTGGCTCCGCGCTGAAGGCGGCCAGGCTGCTCGGAAGCCCTCGCGCTTTCTGAGAAGTAGTTTTCTCCGTCTTCGTGGACGTTTGGGAAGGCCCGAGGCCGTGTAAGCCTTCTGGAAAGGCTCGCCCCCTCTGACTTCGGGGTACTTTATTAGTGAATTTAATTGGTTTTAGGGTTTTAACAAATGGTCGCAGCCACGCAGAGGGCGTGCGTAGCGACGCCCCAAATGCTCGGTCTCCAGTACTTCTACGTGGCGGCGCCCCCGCAGGCACGCAGAGGGCACGCGTGGCGACGGGGGCGTCGCCACGCAGAGCTACTAAAGACCAAACATTTTGAAAACCAATTGTTTCCACTACTAAAGTACAAGCAATGACCTAAACATCAGCTTTTGGAGGTCCGCGCGGGCTTTTCGGATCGGCGCTGTAACCCTCCGCGCCAGGGGCCGCGCCGGAGGCGCCGCCAGGGGGCCCCAGCGCCGACACGAGAAATCCGCGCGGACCTCCGGAGAGGTTTAGAGTGGAGACCCATGCCAAGAAGCACCCTGCGTGCCTCCAGGGTGCCCTGGGTATCTTGTGTGTCGTTGCTTCTGCCACGGAAAGCGTGACGTCCCCGCATCGAAAAGCAATGGACGTCCTGGGGTCCCAGGGTTGGGCTTCTCGTGGAAGACTTCTTTTGTGGACTGGCCTCCACTGTATGCTCAAGTCGCTGTTTGTTTGTTCCCCTCCGACTTCCACCCTGCAGAGCCCCGAGTCATCAGGGGCAACTCGGGTCAGGGTTAACTCGGGTTCCTTTTTCGGGAATCCAAGCCCGAGTTACCCCGGACCCGAGCTACCCCGGATAACTCGGGCGCCCAAACCCTGGGGCTCGCCGCCAACGAGTTGTCCCCCTCGCTCAGGTCCCTGCTGCGCGGCGCCGGGGCGGCCCGGGCCTCGCAGATGCTGCGGCTCGTGCGCCACCGCGGCGGCGGCGGCGGCCTCGAGGCCCGCGCGGTGGCCGACGACGGGTCGCCCGAGGTGGAGGCGGGCGCCGGCGGGAGAGTGGCTCGGGAGGAGTGGTCGGCGCGATCGACACGGGCAGATCTAGGCCTCCTAGATTCGACTAGACGTAAGGGTGACCTTTCGCCGGAGTGACCTTTGGTGCGGGCACAGGTGGGTCCCCAGATGGCTGAAAACGCAGCAGGAGCAGCGGCTTGCGCGCCCGGGTTTGGTCCCCCCGCGGCCCCCAAAGAGCCGCGCACCAAAGGTCACTCTTACCCAGGGTCACTCTTGCGTGTAACCGATGATAGATGGGGTCGGAGCAGACGGGATCGAAGGATCCCCTTCCTGGACCCCTTCCTGGCCTGGCATTCCCTTCCTGGGCCCGCCTGGCATTTCCACTCCCGCAGCCCTCTGTTCGTGGCACCCCGCAATCGACAATTCCTAACCCAGAACCTACCGACGCCCCCCACCTGGACCCCTTCCTGGACCCCGTCCTGGCCTGGCATTCCCACTCCGGGGGCACTCTGTTCTTGGGGCCCCCCAATCTACAATTCCTAGCCCCGGCACCGACCCTGACCCCCCACCTGGTCCGACCCCCACACCACGAGCAGCTCTAGGCCTCCTAGATGGGGTCGGAGCAGACGGGATCGAAGGATCGCGCCGCATCGCCGGTGCATCGCCGATGCGGCTCGATGTGGAGCCCGGTTTGCTTCACGCCGACGTCGCCCATGTATCGCCCACGTCGACGAGGCATCGCTGGTGCATGGCCGATGCATCGTCGATACATCGCCGATGTATCGACGATGCGGCGCGATCCTCCGATACCACCTACTCCGATCCCATCTAGGAAGCCTCTAGTAGAGCCGTAGACGGGTTAACGACGATGTAGGTAACGGCTACGTAGGTTTAGTGTGGGAACGCGTGGCTCGCTGTTTCCTACAATTCGCTGTGTCGTGTTCGCTCGATCCATTCGCAGATGGGAAATGTAGGAGAGTGTGGTTCGCGATGTCCTACCACTTGGTTCCCAACATCACCCGGCCTTTGTAGAGGACGCTCTGCGGGTGCGTAGCCAGCGCTAACCAGATATCTGCCGCTGGCTCGTGGCAGTCTGTGCTGCGCGGCGACGGATTGGGAGAAGGGGAGCAAGAGGCGAGCAGACGACGGCGACCGCGCCGGCGGGAGGCTAGGGCCGGCGGGGCGAAGCAGGCGGGCGGGCAGGCGGGAAGGGGCAGAGGGGGCACAGCAAGCTGGGAGCAAGAGAGGAGGAGGCAATGGGTACGGAAAGAGTGGGCACGAAGGTCGACAACACTTCCTGCTCATTTTGAACAAGACTCGCTGTCGGTGTTGCCGCGGACTTTGTCCGTTTGAAACAGAAGGTTGCCTGCCCAACAGCGGGCGCTGTCGATTTTAGGCAACATCTGCTGTTGGGCATCATGCAGTTTTTTTCTCCGTACCGACTTGGGACGCGACAAGCCTCGGGAGGGATGGACACCAACACGTGCTCCCGTCGCGAAACAAATCGCGACGGGAGGCTTTTGGCCATTTTCTCGAGGCTCTCCAGATGGGGACCGCGCAGATGGGATCCACGGATCGCGCCGCATCGCCAGTGCAGCGCCAACCGGTTCGATGTGGGGCCCCGTTCTCTCAACGCCGACGGTGCCGATGCGTCGCCGGTGTCGGTATGCACCGTCGATGCATCGCTGACGCATCGGCCGTGCATCGGCGATGCGGCGCGATCCTCCGACCCCCCCTCGGACCCCGGCTGGGGGACGTCTGACGTCTGGGGAGGGATGAGGACCCAGACGTGCTTGCGCCGTGGGAGGATCGCGACGGGAGGCGTGTGGCCGTGGTTGGACCCCTGGAGCCCTCGCCGCTGAGAGCTTCAGGCCAGTCAGGGCACGGCTCGGGACGGAAGGCCAGCCCTGGGGAGAGGGCGGGGGCCTAGAGCACCCCGTGCGGAGAACTCAGGACCCCGGTGTGCGGGAGCGCTTCCTGGAGGGACGCAGGGTCGCCTCAACACGCACGCGCGTCGCCCTTGCAGCTGCGGCCGTGCCCAACTCTGAGAGGGTGTGCGTGCTGTCCTCGAGTTCGGCACCTGAGGCCTGCTGCATTGGGCCCCGGTTTACCTCCAGGGAATGGGTCGTGACATCTTGGGCCGCGAATTGGACAAAATCCCAGAAAACATAACAAAAAATGTTAGAAACATACACGCTAAAACAGAAATCGGAGGATGTCTGGGACACGCGCGCCGTCTTTCGAGCTGTGCGTGTTGCCCTTCCTTGCCTTCTGCACGGAGGCCCGGTGATCGTGTGTTCAGCGGCAGCGCGCCGATGGCCGATGGAGTCGCCCGACCGGTGCTGGCGCCGAGACCGGTTTTTGCTCCCCGGCTCTCGGCCGAGCTCCGTCCTTTTCGGGAACGCCAGCCCCGACATCCGCGCGACGATGTGTTCGAGAGTCGGGCCCCCCGACCTCTCTCGGCCACCTCCCTGGGACTTGCTTTACATCCCGAGCCATTGTGTGACGAGCCTGGGGCCCTTGCTGGTCTTGAAGTAATTAGCAGAAGCCTCCCGTCCTGTGAGCCTCCTCCCCGGCGCGCTCACTGGGATGGCATTCCTGCCCTTGCCCTGTTCATGAGCGGACCCCCTGCCGGGCGTATCCGCCAGGATTGTCCTGGACCCCCTCCTGGGCGATCCAGGGTCCACCCCCGCGAGCCCGCGGGATATCTCCCCGGCGCGAGCATGGAGGGCATTTTTCGATGGGCTCAGGCAAGCGTGCTTCCATCGAGGGGGTGAGGGCGTGGCGAGGCCCGAAACAAAAGCTGAACTTCACGCAAGTTGGGACACCTGCACGCCTTTTCGGCCCAGCGCTGCTTGAATAGGCGGTGGACCAGGGGGTGCGAAGTGCCATGCAAGCAAGCTCTGCCTGAGCATAATAGCAGCCTCCTGTGGCTCCCCGCCCGCGATCCTCGTGCTCTACAGTGGGCCACGATTGCGCCTACAGCTGCGGCACGGGCGCATGTGCTTCGACTGGGGGAGGGAGGAGGAGGAGGAGGAGGAGGAGGAGGAGGAGGAGGAGGGAGGAGGAGGGGAGGAGGAGGAGGCGGAGGAGGAGGAGGAGGAGGAGGGGGGGGAGGGGGAGGAGGACGGGGAGGCGGGCGGCGCATGTGCCCAGCGCGTCGACTTCGGCTCGATGTTCCCGTGGCATCTTGCCCCGCCGCCGCTCCATTTCCACTTGCGGCCCCAGCGGGCGCGCATGTGTCCCAGCGGGCATCCGCGCACGCGCCCGATGCACCCAGATAGACACGTTTCTGATTCGTTTTGTGCCCCACGGGAGCGAGCGGCCTCAACCAGCTTCGACGAAGACGTTGGAACAGTTGGAAAAGAATTTCGTGAACTGCACATCTCTCTGAGTAGGCGCCCGGCGCGCGCAGTCTTTCACGCCCAGCCATGGCCTCGCCCGCCTCGCCCCGAAGGGGCCCGGGCATCTGCCCGCACAGGCCTTCCGCTCCGCTCCGTTCCCACAGGGTCAGGAGGGAAAGAAACACACAGACACAATTAATCGTAGATTCCCGAGAAAATATGGGAAAATATGGGAAGTGGGGGGGAAGACAAAAACCAAGAAAATATCGGAAAATATGGGATTTTGTTTTATTTGTGTGTATTTATTTGTGTGTCCTTGGGCCCCTTCACAGGGGCGAGTGCAGAGAAGGACAGCCCTCCTGTCTGGGGATGCCCCGGCGGGCGCCCCGGGGCCGGCGCCGGCCAGACCGCTGCCGCGGCCCCCGTGGCGGAGGGCCCGAGGCCCACGCGTGCCCCGCGCTCGGCGGCTGCTCCGAGCGCCGACGGGCGTCGAGCACGCCTCCTCCGCCTCCTCCTCCGTCCCCAGACGCCCGCCTTAGGCGCGCTGCGGCGGGGGGGCGGGACTCCTCTCTCTCAGGGTCTGGCGCTCCTCCATCCCCAGACGTGTCGGTAGGGCGGGCCAGACGTTTCGCTCACCACGTCCGATCCTGAAGATTGGAGGCTGAGACTGTTTCACGGATGCAGGGCGGGTGGTTTTCAGCATGTGGCTCTCGCTTCGGCGCCGCGCACCTTCGCCCTGAAAGTGTGCGACAGCTTCACGGATGGATGGCGGATGGTTTTCAAAATGTTGTTCTCGCTTGAATCGCCTCGCACATTCGCCTTGAAAGTTTGCAGAAGATTCACGGACGGAGGGTGGTTGGTTGGTTTTCGTTTGGTTCTCGCTTCAGCGCGGCGCACTGTCGTTTTTTAATGTTGCAGCAGTTGCACGAATGGAAGGTGGGTGGTTTTCCCCATGTTGTTCTGGCCGTATATTGTCTGGACGCAACAGTCACATTAACTTGCGAGGGTGAAGTCCCAGGAATTGTGCTTTGGCACGATCAGACGCGTGACTTCCAATGGGGCATTTGCCGCAATTAAAATTATTGTTGAGTCCTATGTAGAGGGAACTTCGAGGGAGGGTGTATTGCAACATCGTTGATGCGTCTTGGTTTACACTGGTCGTCTTCTTTTTCCTCCTCCTTCTTCTTCTCCCCCCTCCTCCCCCCTCATCCTCCTCCTCCTCCCCCCTCCTCACCCCTCACCCCCGTCCTCCTCCTCCTCCTCCTCCTCCTCCTCCTCCTCCTCCTCCTCGTCCTCTTCCTCCTCTTCCTCCTCCTCCTCCTCCTCCTCCTCCTCCTGCTCCCCGTCGTCCTTATCCCCCTCCTTCTCATCCTCCTCATCCTCCTCCTACGTGATCTCGCGCGCAGGCCTACCGGGCCTTCAGCGAGGGCTTCTCCGTGGTGCTGACGGGCGTGGAGCGCCTCTTCGAGCCAGCGTTCAAACTATGTAGCCGGCTGTCCCCGGGAGCTGCTAGAATTGGCCATGGCCCGACCTTGAGATCCCAGCGTTGCAGGTTTTTCCACACTGGGCGTTCTCGCCCTGGTGCTGGCCCCCGGACCCTCACAGATCAATGCGGCTCGAAAAATGCCGCAGGACGACGGGGTCTGGGACTCTGGTCGCGATGTTTGGCGATGTTGCAATTTGTGTGCAATGTAGGATCTCGGGGAAGATGGCCCTAGCTTTCCCATGGAGGCGCAGATGGCTTCCAGAGCACCCCATCGTGAGGCACAGAGGCCCCAAAGTGGCGCGGACAGTTGGGAGCACCTTGGGCCAGGACCGCTTCTAGCAACACCCGATGTCCCTGGAGCTGGGCTTGCCCGTCCACGCCAACGCCTACCTGACGCCGCCCGGGGGCACCTCCGCCTTCGGGTTCCACGCGGACCCGTGGTCGGTGCTCGTGCTGCAGACGCACGGCAGCAAGACGTGGCACATCGGCGGCACCAGGAGCCCCGCGCCAGTGGTACCGAACAGTTCCCGGTGCCTGCACCGCCATACAAGCCTTATGCCTGGGGTGTGGCTCTTCTAAAACAAGTTTCTGCACCGAGGGACTTCCGCTTGCCTTGGTGATGAGCTGGCCTTTTCAGCTGGGCATCCGGGCAGTACCCGACCTGAGTCCCACAGGTAGTCCCACAGGTCAGGTGTTCGTGCTCGCTGTGGATGACCTTCTTGAAGCCTGCCTGGCGGATCTGCTCGAAATTAGCTCGACTCAAGTCAGCCACGCGCAGAGGGGGGTAGGAGGAGGGGGGAGGGCTTCTTAGAAGCACCCCCCCTTCTGAGAAGGCGCGGGTCTTGTCTATGGATGCAGGGCCGGCGCCCTCTGAGAAGCCGTCCCCCCTCCCCTTGCCCCCGTTGTGTGCGCCGCCAATCAAGTACGACCCATTTTCGATTTCGATCTGCGGACGCTCGACGCACGAGCGGAGCCCCGCGCCCCTCGAGGAAGGCCCCCCGGACGAGCATCCGACACAGCGGGGGGGCTCTCCGCCCCACCAGGCCCCCCACCCACCGCAGAGTCCAGCCCGCGGGGGCCTCCCCAGACATCCAGCACTCCAACCGTTTTCTTATTCACTGTTTTGCCGATCGGCGAGAGCCCTCGCACCCCCCCCCCATGGAGTAGACCTTGCCTGTTTTCGGCGCCTGTTCCGAGCAGGTGGAGTCTCCCCCATAGGACGCACTGTTGCAAACCGTCGCATTAAGCAGAGGTCCAGAGCCAGACCCCCCCCGTCCCCCCCCCCCCCTTCCGCCCAATGTCGATGGGTGGACCCTCGGAAGTCTGGACCACTTGCCTGGGGCTGGTTTTTCATCCTGAGTCGGTTGTGTTGGACGGCCCCTCGGCCCAGCAGGGCCCCCAGAGGCCGCAAAAGTGGCCAAGAACCGGCCGTTGACGTGTGTGCCCGCCCCGCTTTCTTCCGGATTCTGGCAGGTTGACTTGCATGGAGAGGACGAGGTGGGGGGGGGCGCGGCAACGCGCGAAAGGCTATTTGCATTTCACGCAAATTGGGAGCCACTTGCACGCGGCGGAGGGGGGACCCGGGGCGGGAGATTTAAGACTATGTGGCGTGCGTGTTTTCTCGCAGCGGGAGCCCTTTTTTCGTGCGGCATCTCATGATGTGACCTTGCTCGCGCGCATGACTGTATCATGATCGTCACAAACACCACAACAACAACAGCAGCAACAGCAACAGCATCAGCATCAGCATCAGCATCATCATCATCAGCATCATCATCATCATCATCATCATCATCATCATCATCATCAGCATCGCCATCATCCCCATTGCTCATCCTCATCATTATCATCCTCATCCTCCTCATCATCATCATCGTCATCATCGCCATCATCAGCACTGCTCATCCTCCTCATCCTCCTCCCCATCCTCACCATCATCAACATAATACCTCCCTGTTCACCGCTGCTGTCGTCTTGCTGATCGCATCCTCCTCGTGCACACGAGCGCAGCGTTAATACCACGACGCAGACGCTACAGTGTTTTTTTCTGCCGTGCACGCTAGCGCACCTATTGTCGTCCGCAATGCACAGTGAACACAGTGCTTCTCTACCGGGCACGCTCTAGCACAAATCGTCTCGAATATCTCGTTGCTGCCTGTTCACCGCCGCTATCTTGCTGGCCGCATCCTCTTACAGCTGCGAACTCGAGCGCTCACGGGAGCCGTGGTTATCACCATCATCATCATCATCATCATCATCATCATCATCATCATCATCATCATCATCATCATCATCGTTAGCATCGACAACATCATCAGCATCATCAGCATCAGCATCATCATCATAATCATCATTCCTCCCCGCCCACGTCTCTGTCACAATCACCATCACCATCACCATACGTCATCATCCTCGCCGCCTCCGCATCACCAACATCATCAGCATCATAACCCCTCCTCCTCCTCCTGCTCCTCCTCCTCCTTCTCATCGCCGTCATCATCATCATCATCATCATCATCATCATCATCATCAGCATCATCATCATCATCATCAGCATCAGAATCATCCGTAGCTATTTTGGCTCAAGCCAGTGCGCTAGCGGCCCTCGGCGGCTGGCGCGGTTTGGGATGGCGCGGGTGGCGGCCCCTCTCGCGGGAGGACGCTGGTGGCGGCGCGCTGGGCCCGAGTGCGGCACGGCGGCAGCGCAGACGCGCAAGCCAGGCTTGGGCTCGCTGGTCGGGGGACGTGCTCGTCCACGACCTGCAGCGGCCGGCCATCTCTGGAGAGGCAGGTACGAGAAGCTGGCGGCGGCGCTGGAAGACCCCTCCATCGCGGACCGCCTCGCGGTGGTGGCGGGGCACATGCACGACCTGGTCCACGACAAGGTCGCGTCGCCAGTCGACACGCTGCGGAGGAACGTGGCGCTCCACTCGGCCGTGGTGCCGTGGCCGCTGGAGTCGGCCACTGCTGCGGCGCTGCGCCGCGCCCAAAAGGGCGCGCGGCTGCCCGCGGTCCCCCGGCCCCCCGCGCTTAACGGCGCGGCGGCGTCCTTCGTGCCGTGCCGCGGCTACTTCATGGGCGACGTCAGGGGCGGCACCGTCGACAGCGCCGACGTCGGCATCGTCAAGGGCGCGGTCGGCGGCGCGAGCGACGGTTTCGCGGTGAGAGAGTTGCTCACGGTCGACAGGCTGCTCGAGGACCTCGGGGTGCAAGGCGACGGGGGCGCCACCACCGAGGTCTGTGAGGCGCTGGCGGTGGAGGAGATCGTGCAGGAGGGTCTCGGGAAAGAGCTGGAGGACGCGCAGTGCCTGGGTGAGGTCGGGGGCACGGCCCACGGCACTGGTGCAGGGCGTTGTTTTCGGCGCGCTGTCCGACGACGTGGACGAGCTCAGCGTCGATGGCACCGCCCCGACGGCTCCTGCGAGCGACGCCGAGGAGTTCGAGGAGGAGGAGCTGGAGGCCCACGTTTACGAGGACAGCGCCGACGACCAGAAGCAGGCCGTGGTGCAGAGCCACGGCGAAGTGGGCGCAGGCGGGGGCCTCTCGGACGGTGAGCCTGCAGGCATGGACGGCGCCGTGGCGGAGATCGAGGGGGCGACTTGCTTCTTCGACTGGATAGACGACGCGGCGCTCTTCGGCCCCAACGGCCCTGTGGAGAAGGCCCACTTCCTGGACCGCGCCAGCCTGGACGCGCTGGCAGTGCGACGCAGTGGAGGTGCTCCGCTGGCGCGCGCTGGACAGTGCCAAGGACGACCACGCCGCGGGGCGCGACGGGGACACAGACAAGGGCGTGGACATGGACGAGTTCACGCAGGCAGTACGGGCCGAGGCCCAAGGAGCAGATGGAGCGAGCAGGATACTGTTGTGATGCACCGCACTAACATGGAGCGACAAGTCGGTGGGCGTTGGCGCTTCGGCCTCGACTCACCTTGGGAGAGCAGGATCATAACCAGCACCAGCATCATCGTAAGCGTCGCCATTATCATCCTCATCCCCATCCTCATCATCATTCCTGCTACTTTTCCTCCCCTTCCTCATCCTCAACATCAGCGTCGCCCTCTTCACTGTCGCTCCTCCTCATCCTCCTCATCGTCAGCATCATCGTCATCATCCCTACTCGCCCCCGTCCGCGTCGTCAGCACCGTCTTATCGTCATAGACACCATCATCATCACCACCGCCACCAGCATCACCATCGTCATCGTAATTCCCGTCGTCTTTACCATCGTCGTCGTCATCAGCGTCGTCATCATCGTCGTCATCATCATCGCCGTCGTCATCACCATCGCCTTCGTCATCATCATCATCATCATCAGTCCTTCTCCTTCTTCTCCTCCGCCTCCTCCCTTTTCTCCTCCTTCACCTCCTCATCCTCCTCCTCTTCCTCTCCTCCTCCTCTTTGCTCCCATGGCAGGACGACGGGTGGGGTCACCATCAGCATCATCACCATTATCATTTGGTTCCTTCTCCTCATGTTCATTCTCGTCTCCATCCGCATCCTCATCTCCTTACTCCCCCGCGCAATTAGGAACAAAAAGACATTCGCAACATCAGAAACAACAGTAAAAACATGCAATCAAAAACAATAAGAAAACCTTACACCCAAAAATATTAAGAATCCCATGCAATCATCAATAATGGGTAATCCACACAATCAAAACAAGAAGACATCCGTACACTCAAAAACAATCAGAAAACGTCTTGGGTCCACGAACCTTGTGACGGTACCCAACAAAAACTTGGGAGGGTGCCACAAAGAGTAACATGAATGGTGTTCGTGTTTCCGGACTTCCTCTGGGCTTTTGTTCCAGCCCAGATTTTCAAAATCAAGAACAAAAAGTAACACCTAGAGATCAGATCCAGAAGAAATCCGTGCAATCAAGAACAATATGAAACCCGTGCAACCAGAAACAATAACAGACCCATACAGTCAACAATAGAAAGATGTTATGTTTTTCTGGTACCCTCACAGTTTGCTGCATGTTTTTGGTAGTTATTGGTCGTTTGGTACCCTCACAGGGTTCGTGGACCCAAGACGTGTTCTTGTTGTTTTCGATTGTATTGGTGCCTTTTTGTTTTTGATTGTATGGTTGTCGCATTGATTCTGATTGCATGGATGTCTGTTTCCTTCTTATTAGACGGATTTATTATTGTTTTTGATGCTATGGATTTCTTTTGTTTTTGATTGTGCGGAACCGGGCTGGAGGAGCCCAGAAGAAGTCCGAAAGCACGAAAACCATTACTGTAATTCAGTTTCCTGGTACCATCACATGTTGTTGGTGTATTTGTTTTTTGATTTTTGGTTACCCTCACAGGGTTTGTGGACCCAAGACGTTCTCTTATTGTTTGAGAGTGCACGGATGTCTTCTTGTTCGTGATAAAATGGATTTCCCATTGTTTGTGATGATATGGGTTTCTTATTGGTTTGAGCGTAAAGTTGTCTTATTATTTTGATTGTATGTATGTCTTGTTGTGTTTGATTGTGCAGATGTCTTATGAT